ATCGATAAAAATAGGCCTTGCTTTTCAAAAAGCAAAGAAATCAAGTGTGTTTTTTTGAAAAAAAAATATCATTTTCTATATATCAATATGGATTTTTATGGAAAGATGACGGAAAAATCATAAACAATGATATATTTTGTTTTTTTTTTCCGATAAAAAACATGGCTAAAAATAAATTAAACGAAAAAAAAGTAAGTTTTGTTATAATCCGGTGCATGTGCGTCTACTGTAAAAGTCTACAATCCTTACTTTTGGCGTTGATCTTTTTAAATTTCGACGGTTTAAATTGGTTATTTGGTTATTTAATTAAAAATGCTTTCATTGATTCTTCAGTGGAATTAAAAATATTTTACTCTAGGATATGTTTAAGATCTTCCAACTTATAATTCCATTGATGAAAAAAATGGTTCCTAAAGAACCAAAATATTTAGTGTGTGAACTTTGTAACCTTTATTTGCTGGGTGATGTCTTTTTTAGAAAGTTGCTTTCGTTTTGATAAGGTTAGAAAAGAAGAAGATAGACTTGCAACAAAAGAAAAGTGTGCAAGTTTGGATGAAGATGTAAGTAAAATGGACTTCCCCAAAAACAATGATATAGATTTCGTTTGCGACAAAATGGTAGAAATCATCCCCTATGGCAATTCTACCGTAATTGCATGTTTTTAATTAAATTTTGATCCGATTTGTGTTGTTAAAATTAAAGTGAGATTAATTGCAAAACAAAATTACATGTTTGGTTATGGTCATGAGTTACTGTATAGACTTTGCATGAAAAAAATTGTGTTATAACTTGTATTTTTTTGTTTTTTTACTAGATCGATGTGTTTATTGATTACTTACAATGTGCTGAATAGATTTGTTATTCCATGTTATAATTGTGTTTGAAAATTACATGTTATGTGTTTAAAATGCCTAACTTGATATTTGCTAGCTTAAAGAATCATTTGGTAATGTTGTTGGACTTAATATATGAAATGGAAGTATAGTATTCCAATATAAAAATTAATTTGCAATCGTACGACTATGTACAATTATGCCCTGCCAGAAACATACATACATACATTAAAAACAAACATCCAGCTCAAATGAGAAATCTACATATCTTTCCTTACTAAAACAAACTAGATTTTAAATCTAAAAACTTCCCCAAAACAGATACTATTCATTTTACAAAAAATTATATTTGTTTAAAAAAAAAAGAAGTCTCATTGGGTATTGTATGACACACATACATAAATAAGAAATCAGATCCCATACAAACATATATACAGATCATATCATATTGCTATGCACTAAATAACATGGATAAAACACTGTGATTGGTTTTGATTCTGGTTGTGCTGCCCAATCCAAATCAGTGGTGAGATCAATTGGTAAAGCTGTGGGGGCTCCCACTACTTGATGGAACGGTAAGATAATATACCACTTATATAATTCTCAATGACAAAAAAAAAAAGGTTTTTTTTATTATTTTAATTAGATTACCATTTCATGTAAAAAAAACCTTATAAATATTGTTGTTCTTATACCTCACGTGAGTTTACTAAAATTTCATTTTGTAAAATACAAATAATAGCATGTTGATATTTCTTGCAATTAACCAAAATTTATTGGAAGATATAGCAACTTACATTCATTTGTTAGCAAGAAATGACAACTTATTTTCATTTCTTTGTAAATAAAAGCATGTTTGATATTTCTGTGTTCAAATCACTAGTTTCTTAACTTTCATGTTTAATCAATATTAATAAAACATTAAAAAAGAGTGTATATACATAAAACAATCATTTTCAATACATATTTAAACATATAAAAAATTATCTTCAAATTATAAAAAAACAAAGCCTAAAAGAACGTCAGGCGGTTTTACGTATGTGAAGGATTCAATAGATACTTTATCAACCTGCCTTAATTAAATGGAGAAGAAACACCAAGCTGTGATTTTGGTGTTCGTCAATTTTAAAATTTAAATTACTGTCATGATTTATAATTGAAATTTAAAAACGGTAATTAAATAAGTAATTATTTATTATTTGTCATTTTTAAAGAAAATGATAAAATCACAATATTTGAATTGGGAAACATAAGTGAATATGTTGTATACATTCCTAAAAAGAGTTTACTTTTCAAACATAAGCAATTTATTGTTTTAACTTCAAAATCCTTTCTGTATGCAAAAACAAGAGAGTAAATGTTGCTTCATAGCAAATAGTACAAATTTTAGAGGTAAATTTAGAACAGTCTTGTGAAAATTTTGTGTCCGAAACAATGGATACTCGGTTTCAAATCGACGAATAAGTTTGGAGGTAACACTTTTGTTTCATATACAACTTTTATAGAAATATATAATTTCATTTTTACTACAAAAAATGGTGTTTACATATATTGTTAGATGTTTGTTTTTACCATGGAGTGTATGCTCAGATGTTGAATGATATTATCAGACATACATACAGACCATACCAATATAAAGGAGGGAATGGGAAGGTTGGTTTAAAAGGATTCAAAAGTTATCTATATAACCAATCTTCTCATTCACTCCTTTCATATCTGTCTAAAGTGGAATATCTTTTAACTTGCTACAAAACAATGGCGTTAAAATCGATATTTGAGAATGAAAACATGATATTGAGGTAAGGGAACTAAAAAAGCAAATTACATGCGACTGTATGCTCTTATAAAATGAAGGAAAATGATACGAACCATTAACAATAATGACTAAAAAAGTCAGGGTTAAACTTGTCATTCAACTATACTCCTCTGTCAAGACTCTTAATGATAAAAAATAAAACCTTAAATGACTTATTGTTTGTTCTGAAGCTGATACTCGACATATATTTTTACCATACAGTAAAATCCCTACACAGAAAGCCAACAAATCCTCGAACTTGAGAAAAGAAACTCAAACTACCCAAAATTCCATTCAGCTCAAACATAAGCTCCAATGCATAAATTCACATAAAGTCCAGTTCTTGCTTCTGTCTTTATAAACCTCACAAGATCATATTTTCCACTGAAATCATACATAAATTATAGACATAAATGAAGATAACTTTCAGGAAAATTTCAAATAAACAACACACGCTTTAATGGGGAAAAAGTGTTTGTTTACAAAACTTATAGTCAGTGTTTTAAAAACCAGTTTGAACCGGCCGGTCGAACCGGTTGGACCGGGAACCGGGGAAGGGAGCGGTTCAACTATCACCGTTTTTACATCAATTTTTGAACCGGATTGAACCGGCCGATTTTTAGAAAAAACCGTTTGAACCGGTTAAACTAAATAAAAATAAATGGAAAAAAATCATTTTCAAAAGTGGACTTTTTCACATCTATTTAGATTTCTCTAAATAAAAACATATGGTAAATGTTATGATGTTTTTTAATGCACTTATATTCATCTAAAACTATATTTTGTTTCGGTATTATACTTCATTTTCTTTTCGACATATGTGAATTGATGTAAAACTTATAGTTATGTGTTGTTTTAATGTATTTAGATTGATCTACAACTTATTTTTATGTGTATTTTTAATGTTTGAATTTGTAGACGTCAAATTCATGATTTATATATGTATGTATGTATGTGTAGAAAAATAAGAAAAAAAGATGAAAATTATAAAAATCGGTTGACCCGGCGGTCGAACCGGTTAAACCGGGAACCGGTCCTCATACCGATTCAACTAAAAACCGGTTTTTAAAACATTGCTTATAGTAGAAGTGGAAGACTTATATAAGCAATAAAATAAGTTAAATTATGGAGTTTTTGCTTACTTGGATTCCACTTGAAATTTCCTAAAATACCCGGTGGTGATGGTCGGCAAGTGTGTAGGTCAGAGAAAGAACGAAATAGGGTAGAAGAGAGAACGGGGGTAGAGCAGCATATGAGGACTGGGTATGACGGAGGAACTTTAAAAATAGTTGCTGTCTTCCGATGAATAATCGATCCAGGGTTGTGAATCTGAAATGATGGACTTTTTTTTTTTTTTTTAAATCGATGTTGATATCAACTAACTAATAGAGGAAAAAAATGAAAATTTTGGTATAATTAGTTTTTTTTAATAAAAATAAACTTAAATATTGAAAAAAACAACAAAACCAAGTGAGTTTTTTTTTAAAAAAAAATTGTTTTTATATATCAACATTGATCTCTATGGAAAGAGGAAGAAAAATCGTGAACAACGGTATATTCGGTTTTTTTCCAATAAAAGATGTGGCTTAAAAAAAATTAAACGGAAAAAAAGAGGTGAGTTTTATGGTATAATCTGATATATGTGCGTCAAATAAACAAGTGTATCTGTGTGTGTGTGTA